CACTCCTAAACCCAGGCACTCCAAGAGTACAAATAATCCTGTGACAAACGAGTCACTGTCCCAGACTCCTGGCCACCAGCCAGAGGGTTGAGGTTTAGCCATGACCAGGGTGCTAGATGAGTTATGAGGCTGAAAGCCAGGCCCTGAAAAGTTCAGTCATCTCACACTGATCCAAAGAGACCTTACCAGCCAAACACAAGGGATAAAAAGGCCTAGGGTCCTGGAGAGGACATGGGCTTTCACTTAGTCAAGGTATTGTCTAGACCTGGGGTGTCAAAGATAGGGCCCACAGGCTGGATCCAGCCCAGGTATCCCATCATCCAGCCCCTAGTGCTGCCCATGTTGACCCACAGGCAGCATGTGGGACACAGCAGAAGGCCCCGAGTGCTGCACTCAGCGCCTGCTTCAGCACAAATTGCAGAGCAGCCTCCATGTATAGCACAGCTCTGGAGCAATTGGACAAGATTGTGCTATGCGCAGCGCCCAACCTGGCTACTCCAAAACACACACTGCATCTGACACGTGGGGCCAGTTTGTGGGTCCAATCCAGCCCATGAACTGGCTCCACACCACTCAACCACGCATCTGACCCAGGGGGCCGAATGAGTTTGACACCCCTGGTCTAGACAGAGGGAATGACCCTTTACTGGATATGGGATGTAAGAACTTTCTCCCAGATTTCATGGCTCCTACCCAGACTGTCACTTTATCTTCCTTGACTTTTTTCCATGTCTGAACAACCCCACCTGTGCAGTGCTCTCGGACACTGGAGAGGATTTGACTCCATCAGCTCCTCCGGCCTGTGTCCAGAATGGCTCAGCCAAGGCCTATGCAGGACCCATATAAGCAGCTCCACCTCACAAAAGCAAAAGGGTGGGAAGTTCATTCTGACCAAGACAGAAGGACAATGGGACTCGGATCTCCCAACTGACAGTCACTCACGTGACTTTCACCCTTCTGCAAACCTTAGTAGCTGCATTGTCCAATCCTGAGGCTAAGGCTTGGCAATAAATTGTTTTGCTGATGCTGTACAGGGCAGACATGTGTCTCATTTCTGGGCTTAGCTTGGGGCTATAGCATTTCCAAGCAGAGATTACTGGAGTTATTTCCTCTAAAAGACACCTGCTGCTGACTCATCAGTTGTGATATAAAATGATTCCTGGAAGCACAGACTCTGGGACATCTGTTACTATTCTCAGAAGCTCTCCAGAGTCCTCTGGGGAATCTGGGAAAGTATTTATCAGGGAACAGGCAGAACATGCTCTATGAGCAAGTCTTAGAAGGTGTTCTCCTGGGATCCTCCTATTTTATTTCTTCCTCTTCCTTCCCTCACAAGGCTCACATTGGACTGCCCTGTACTTTTTGGTTAAGGGGGTAGGCAAGGGAAAGGGGCACTTCCAGTAATAAAGCCAAAGGAGTGTCCTGCTGCACTGCTGGAGAGCAAGAGATGAAAGCCAAACTTGATCCCTTGCTTGGCATGGACTGAAATAAGGCACCTCTTATGACAATGCCTAATACTATCTCTAACACTCTCATGGCTGTCCTGAAGTTGGTCTCTGTCTTGTGAATAAGGTGGCAAGGAGAAAAGGGTGGGAGAAAGCTTCATATTTGTATGGCCAACTGTGCCATGTTATTTCAGAAGGGAAATTTTCCTGAGCCCACCTGGAAATCAGTCTGGCCCTAAAGTTCAAAACCCCAGGAGTGCTTGTACGCTTCATCCCAATCAGTATTAACATATAAAGCCAAGAGGATCTAGACCATATTCTTGAACTAAAATTTCAGGCACAAAGATGTGGCTAACTTGTCATACAAGAGAGGCAATGAATTCTGCCTGTCTCCTCTAACAACCAAGGAAGGGAAAATAATTAGTTCAAATAGTTGTGCATAAATTTCATCTCTGAAAGACAAGGTTCCTTGGGTGAATTTGATATCTTTTATTAGACCAACCCAAATGGTTGGAGAATAGTTATTAAGCAAGCTTTCGGGTTCAAAAACCCTTCGTCAGGCTAAGGAAGCTGCAGCAGTTGGTGTGTTGGCTCTCTGAAAGAGGCATGGCAGTATAGATTCATAGATGTTAGGGTCAGAAGGGACCTCAGTAGGTCATCGAGTCTGACTCCCTGGCCTGGGCAGGAAAGAGCGCTGGGGTCAGATGACCCCAGCTAGGTGGTTGTCCAAATAGCTTCTTGAAGACCCCCAAGGTAGGGGAGAGCACCACCTCCCTTGGAAGCCCATTCCAAATTCTGGCAACCTTTACTGTGACAAAACTACCACAGTAGTGTAAATTACTGAAGACATATCTACACCAAAGCCAGAGGATGGTTCTGAAGTTAGGTTATCACTAATACTGGCTGGGAATTTTTTGCTAGAACTTTTTTGTTGTAGAATTCTAATTTATTGACAAAGAAATTGGCTGTGGGAGAGGGTCTCTGTGGGATCTCTCTTCCATTTTAGTTGAAAAAATTTGAAACAGAAATTTTGAAATGGTAAAGACATCCTCCTTTGACCTTTTCTACATGAACATGTTCCATTTTTTGGTTTGCAATGACCTTTAAGTTAGAAGTTTAAGGTAATTAATGGTAAAGCATGTTTCAAACTTGTCTTTTTTATTTTGTACAAAATATTTCAAAACAATCACGCTAGATTATTGTATTTTTGGATTGCTGATGCTTCAGAGAATCTGACTGTTCATCCACACTCAGGACCAGAAAACATTTAAAGTAGTAGAAAAAGTCCCACAGGACTAGAAAGCTATTTTCTACCTTGTGCTAGTCGTCACCTTTTCCTGACCTTGGCCAGCTCATAATTATCCCCAGGCTGTCAGGGAATGGTCCATGCGGTGGGGTTGTCAACACTTCTCCTTGGGAATACAAGGCACAGTGTAATATAGTTTACTGCTGGTTTAATGCCTAAATCTTATTCAGTGTCCTCTCAAGATGTTCTAGTTATATCCTCTTGTTCTACCTCAAGCAAATCCTCTCTCTCTCTCTCTCTCTCTCCCCTCATGCTATTTCCATCCTTACAGTTCTTGGACAAACCATTCAGTTGTTCTCTTTTATGTTTGTTTCAAATTAGGCTGTAGCTGCTCCCTTCAGTCTGATGGATATATGATTGATTATAGTACTGAGACAGCACACTGCTGGCCAGTCCTCTACCCTTTTCACTAAACCTCCTACTTCACCATCATACAGAAAGCCTCTCACCAGCTACCAGGCTGCTGAAATGAGGTTGTGTGTAACACATACATCTGTAGGATTTTGCTTTAAAATTAAAACTGACATACTAGACAAAACTTTGGAGCCATGTCCTGGACTATCATATCCATGGCACCATAATGAGATGAGACTAACTCTGCCAAAATATTAAAAGGGCAACTGCTGCTCAGAAGAATGAATTGAATCAAACAGTAAACCCTGCAAATGTAAAATGACAAGAACCAATAATGCCATTATTAATAAAACAGTAGTACTTACAAGCCACAAGTGAGATCAGGGCCTCTTTGTGAGAGGCACTGTACAAACATAGGCAGAAACTCCCAAGACCTTACAATTTAAACTGGCTAAGCATCATAGGAAAAGCAGAGACTGAGATAAGTGCATTGACACACCCTGTTCAGCCTCAGGACAGAACAGTATCAGAATGAAGATTAGGACACAGGTCTCCTAGTTTCCAGTTCAGTATCCTAACCTGTGCAGTGCACTGAACAGAATAACATTAGTTTCACAATGCAACCCAGTGTACCATCTGCTTGGAGTATATAGATAGAGGACAAATTTGGGTTTAATTATTACTCAGAAGTAAGACAGAGATGTGACTGATATACCAGACCCATGCAAGACCATGCAAGGAGGTGTCTCCCTATGGGAAAAGCTATCACCATGGCCAAGACACCAATTGTCTAGGACTGCTAGAAAGCTTAATAGCGTGGGGTGGAGACTACAAAATAATGCATCTAAAAAAAAATCACTCATCTGACTATGGGGAAAAATTCATCCCTCCACTACAACCAGTGGAGTTACACCAGGGATTAGTGGGGCCAAATAATATCTAGGCTAATAATATTCCAATACTTGCTCCTGAGAATTACATGATGATCAAGCAGCTTTTAAATGGAGATTCAAGACCATTAGTCTGTTGCATTATTGTTTTTCTTCTCTATTTTCTGATAGGCATTCCTATCAATCCTATTATTACCCTCATAGCAGCTATAATCCACAAACAGCTTTTCATATCTTTCTGTCATAAAAACCTTGCATCCAGAAAAAGCCTAGAGTGCTTTCTCTCAGAAGCCATTTTTAGCATAACAGCAGTAATTTTACAGTACCTTCCACTGCATGCATTTAAATCCAGAAGCGCAGCTACTACACTGTCAGTACAATGGATACCTTGCTTTCTCACAACAAAGGGAAAAACAACAGGCCACACTTCAAAATAGTAAACGCATTCTCTGGAGCTATATTAGCCCTGCCTAACATCAAAAGGCACATGTTAAAGAAAAGTTAGAAGCAGAAATATTATGAATCTCTACTGATTGATAGAACCTAGCTTGGCTAAAAAGGCTGCTTCAGGTACTCATTTAATTGTTTTTTATATTTCCTTACATTCTTCATGTTTACATTCACAAGAAATGAACAAATCAAGAAGCAGAATCTTGTCCAGAACCATAATATTCTGCACATCTTAAACTGCAGTAGTTCTCGCAGCCCTGATTCCATACAAACATCCATGCATTGTTATCAAATAGCTCAGTGCAACATGAATACGCACTTCGTTAAAACAGAAAACAAGATCTTTTATTCCAATGTGATTCTAACTTCAATTTAGCCATGCTTCTATCTTAAGAGCTCAGCACTCATGTTGGGCACCTACACGAAACGCTCAGATTTTCATTGGGGACAGCTGCAGATTGAGAATGTTTTTTGGGGTGGGAGAAGAGGAGCTGCACTCTTTAAAAATCTGACTTCCCTTGCTTTTTCTCTTGCAATCTGATTTAAACACCTTACCTTGGAAGAGAACACAGCCAGATATCCAGAAAAGAACACAGAAGTTTGGTGCCGGCATTTTCTTTGCAACTTGTGCCTGTGCAGCCCTGCTAAAACTTTGTCCATACCGTGAGTGAAGCAGGGGTCAGGAGAAATTTGCTGGCCTGGGTTGATTCTTTCAGAGTTTCCTGTTAAATAATAGAAGGAAACAGATTGAATCCACAGGGGAACACATGCCATGGAACTATGCTTTTGCCCATTATAGTTTAAAAGGATATGAGACATAGTTTGCTCAATGCAAAGGAAATCTAATGGAGGCAACCAGCAACAAAATGTATACAATGGGTCCAGCTCACCATGGGCTCCAATTTCCATGTGCCATTTATTTGCTTAGAGAGTGTACAGATCCTTTGGGGGCTAGGACTGAATACAAGGTTGGCAGCTGGGTTCTAATCCTGACACTGGCCTTGGGCAAGTCTCAGAAGGTAAATCTGTATGAAGTAGTGATACTAAGAGGCCAGATCATTGCTGCCTGACTTACAAGTCATTCCAAGGCTGTTCTGAGGGGCAAGTCTCTGGAGGAATTGCCTTGCTTGGCAAAAGACTCCATCAGCTTGTCTAACAAAGCCAGCATGAGGATTACCCCCAGCAGAAACAGCTGTATCTGCAGAGTCCTGGGATATCATTGCAGAGAAACTGTGCCTCTGCCCTACCTCTGTACCCCGATTCCACACCACAGGATGATTCCAGTGGAGGTAGTAGTGGTGCATTCCTCCGGGATGTAGCAGAGCCTGGGGTGGAGGGCAGCCACCCAGTAAAGAACTTATGGTTTGGGACTGGAGGTTGAGGGATGGGTTTGTCTACTCCTGACTCCAGTCCAGCAACTCCTTTCTGCCTCACCCTTCCTGACAAAGCTCCACAGGCGCAGACAGAAGTGCAGCTCCCCGCTGTAACTCAGAACACTTTGCAGGAAGTGTTCTGAATTACAACGATTCCCCAGACCAAACAGAAGTTCACTGTTGGTTCCAGGGGAGAGAGGAATCTAGCTTCTGGCTGCGAGCCTGCAGCCAGTTCCCTTAGCAATGGCTCCTCCTCCCTGCCAGTCCTGCTGTTTTCAGAATGGGAGGAAGGATAAGGAGCAGAGGGAGCTCATTCTAGGGGCTCCCCAGCCAGTGCTGAAGGGTGGGATGGGTGAACTGGAGCCCCTCCACCCACACACACACACCTCAGGGGGCTCCAATACAGCCATCCTACCTTTAGTAGGGGCTGAAAAAAACCCAGACTAAACTTCCTCCACTCTCTTTCACCAAGATGAATGGTCGTTCCTCAAGGAGACGATCCTCCGAGCCCAGGGGGTGACAGTCCCAATGAGAATGCCTGGAAGCCAAAAAGGAGGCATACACCCAGTGGAAGGGAGGGGCTATCACCAAAGAGGAGTATACCTCCATTGCTTGGGTTTGTAGTGGGGCTGTTAGGAAAGCTAAGGCAGATACAGAACTAGGGCTTGCATCAAGGATCAAGGACAACAAAAAGTCCTTCTTTAAATACATAGGGAGTATGAAGAAGGCACCAGGTAACATGGGGCCCCTGCAGGATACGGCTGGCAAGCTGGTGGTTGCACCAGAGGAAAAAGCCGACCTTTTTAACAAATTCTTTGCCTCCATCTTTTTGTGCAGGGATTGGGACATCTTCTCCACCAGGATTCAGGATGGACTCAGGAGAGACTCCACCAGGCCAAGGGTCAGGGAGAACCAAGTTAGGGAACTTCTGGAGGGGCTGGACCCTCCTACCTTGGGGGTCTTTAAGAGGAGGCTTGATAATTACCTAGCTGGGGTCATATGAGCCCAGTATCCACTCCTGCCCAGGGCAGGGGGTCGGACTTGATGATCTACTCAGGTCCCTTCCGACCCTACATCTATGACTCTTTCCTCCCTTCCATTCTGAAAACAGCTCAAAGGCTGGGAGGCAGTGCAGACACAAGTTATAGAAGACACTATGTTTTGACACATCTTCATCTGAACCCTCATGCAATAGCCCAATCAGCCATTCATTTTAAGTGGTCTGTAGCCATGCACTTGTGTTTGTTCATGACTATAGACCATTTTCTGTGTCCAGATCGGGCAAAAATTGTCACTTCTGTATGCACCCCATGTGTGGATAGGGTTAAGGACCCCTCTGCATGGAAGGGAAGGAGCTATCCGCCTATTTGTCAAAGCACATTTAAGTCTCATTGACTGCAAAAGCCCATAAGCACAGGCTTAAAGTTGAGCTCTTTGCTGAGTCAGGGCTCTTTTGGGGTATGTCTGTCTCAGTAGATTCCTTGCTAACAGGGCTATTAATATCTAATTGATATCTGTAAAATACATGGAAGATGGAAGCATGAGATATTAGCAGCAAGATCACTGCCCAGCATTAGGTAAAGTCAGTATGAATGCTGCAATAACGCTGCTGGTCTGGTTTCTAGAAACCCTGCAGCAGCTTCAGGGAAATCTAAACACAAAGAGTTAAATCCGACCAGGAATAATACGGTCAGTGCAATAACTCTGGTGCCACTTGTTTGGCTAATACCTGCTGTCTTCAGCCAGGGGGAATTAAGACCTTCCTGGTGGGGGGGCAGATTATCCCATGTCTGCCTACGTCTGCAATTGTTGCATGTTTCTCTGAAGAATCTACAGCTCTGACCATTCTTGAAGGCAGGTCTATTTGTTGTGTAGGTGCAGTAGGTCTAGGCCCACCTGGAAGCTACAGACCCCCCTCAGTAGGGGAAGGGAGGCAACTAACTGCATAACAATTACATTCTGGTAATTGGTAGATGGTCTGGTAGGTAGACAGTTTAGCTGTCACCAAGAGGTAGCCCAGAAGGTCCTGGGATTTGCTGGGGTTAAATATTGGGTGTGCATAAAATAAGAAGTGGGGGGGAAACTGCAGCCAGAACTTTAGGAGGTAGGCACATGCTAGTGTCTCCCTCTGACTACAAAAGGGACAGATGTTGGGGAATCTTTAAAGCAAGTGAGGTACACGCCCACATGAATAGCTCCAGGCAGGAGCCACCAACCTGGATTCCTGGTGGCTCCTGGAATTAAGGTGGAATACAGGCTGGTCCACTGGAGACCCTTGTCTTCTGCAAGGGCATCCCACCATTTGGTATCTAGGTGGGACACAAGGGCAGGAGGGTGAAAGGTATAGAGCTAGTGGTAATGGATTGTCTAGAAGACAACCCATTTCATAGTTTCATAGATGTTAGGATCGGGAGAGACCTATTAGATTATCGAGTCTGC